TAGCCATTACAAGGAAGCATTTCTTTTTGTGAGTCACCCGATGGTAAAATTTAGAGCAGGAAGGAAGGAGCCATTACAACGTAGCATTCCGTTTGTGGGCCACTCGAAAGTAACATTTAGAAAAGGAAGAAGCCATTGCAACGTAGCATGCCTTTTGTGGGCCACCCGAGGGCAAAATTTAGAGCAGGAAGGAGCCACTACAACGTAGCATTCCTGTTGTGGGCCATTCGAGGGTTAAAATTTGAATAGGAAGGAGCCATTATTACAACGTAGCATTAGTTTGAATTCCAGTTCGAAGCGCCGAAAATGTTTACACCCCGGGGGGGAACCAGTTCGAGTTCGAATTCGAATTCGAATCGACGACAATTTTGACACCCGGGCGGGGGGCACCAGTTCGAGTTCGAGTTCAAATTCGAATCGACGACAGCGATTTTGGAGTTCGACTCCTGCTATTCGGCCACCGAGTTGACCTCTAACTGTTCAGTTCGAGTTCGAGTTCGAGATCGAGTTCGAGTTCGAGTTCGGTTCCTTCCATATATCCTTTCAGGGTTGAGTTCATCCATAAGTATAACTGTTTCAGTTCGAGTTCGAGTTCGAGTTCGAGCGGGGCACACTATGGTGTTTCGCCTTCTAAGTCCAAGGTCTACCTGAGTCTACCTCTCACAACCCTTCTGTCTCAAGGCTTCAAAGGAAAAATCACTTGGCAAAGTCCTTTCTTTCTTTTTTGCTTTGTTTCTGCGGTTCGTCGGATCGCACAAATCGAGAACAGCGGCATTGTTTGCCACATGGGTTATGAGCCCAAGCGTTTGCTGAGGTGGCAGCCACCAGCACCTGCGAGTTCGTGATGGACTCACGCCATAGGTGACTTGAGGAGGGGAAGATTAGCACCCAAGGCGAAAGAGCAGACCGCAGACGAGAAGCTGGATGCGGTGTTGGAGGCTGCTCAACAAGCTCTGCAAAGGAAAGGAGAGCTCAGAGTTTGGAGCCAACCACCAAGCTGACACCAGCTCTCAAGAGGACAAGCCAGGCTTCGTCTACAATAACTCCAGCAGCTGGCAGTGGACTACCAGAAGGCCCACGTGGAGCTCCAACAGTGCAGCCGGGGGTTGATGGGAGGTCCGAGTACCTAATGGCCAGGATGCTTCGCACTGGCTGATTTCTCTAGGCCGAAGAGATTTGCAACAAGCTCGACATGGTGTACTTGGAGGGTGTGCGGTCTTCAAGGAGGGACGAGGGCACGATGGAGGACATCAACCAGAAGCGAGCTCAACCACGACGACATTGGAAATGGTACACGGATCTCCTATCAATCCTTGGTCGGCGGAGAAGTTGAGGACGCAGCAGTTGGGAGCTCCGGTGGTGCAAACTATGAATCCAGTGGAACTATTTCGTCTTCGACTTCAAAAAGCAGAACAACGCTTTGCGGCTGGGGTTCGGCAGCTGACAAACAGAGAGAGAGTAATCCTCCTCCAGATGCCATGCTTAAGTCAGCGACGGAGGTGCCAGTAAGACTTCACCAGACAAGGGTGGTCAAGTTGGAGGAGGGCCAGAGCAACCTACACCTGGAGCAGCACGGACAACATCTACAAGGGGTGCCAAAATGGTATCCTGGCCTGAACGGACCTAGCTTTCCATGGCCGTATCCTCCTGGATTGTTGCCTGGGGCATTCATGTGGCCAGGGGCTGGAATGCCTACGGGTCCTGCAGGGGGACTACAGGTTCAACACCAATGTGGGCGGCGAGATTGTGAACGAGAATTTGCGGACGGTCAAATTTCCTGGCTTGGCTCCTGATGCCAATTCATTGTCCTTCGGGGGTTGGTTGGCCACGGTGGAGCCAATAGTGTCCGATGTTAGCCAATCTGCGAGGGAATGGTGGACTATTACTTTGAAGGGGGTGGAAGAGCGATATGCCCAATGGCTTTCCTCAAATCCTCTTCAGCGACTTCGTTTGGACGCAGGTGCTTCGGAGGCGGCGATCAAGTGGTGGCATGGAAGCGGCATCAGCAGCTCGGCAGATTTTTGTAGATGCCGACTGCAAGCGGGAAGACATGCCGTCACCTGGCCAACGGGTTGGGTACAGCTTTCTCCTGATCAAATGATCTAGGGGGAGTGCGGTTCACCGGATCGCACAAATCGAGAAGTGTACCAGTTGAGCACATGACATGCCAAAATGGCACGCGTTTGGCTCGAGAAACAACAGCGGCCCTTGTCTGCCGCATGGTTTCCAATACCTATACTAGCGAGTTTCAAATCTAGCGATGGGCCTCCAACCTACTATTCTCTATGATTCACCCACTCTCCACTTTAAGCAACCCGGTCCAGGCAGGCGTGGCATAGGCATAACTCGAGAAATTGTTCGCCTCGGGTTGACAAGCACCAACACGCACTGAAACACGTGAGAAACTTGATGAACACATAGGGGTTTGTCTTGGTCTTGTCAACCCACACTCTTTGAGTTCAAAAAGGGTTTCCCTCAACACCTTTGGTGCAGCTTTGACTGTGCCGTGCCCTCTGAAATGGCCACAATTGGCAAGACCACCCGGGCCGACTCCCCTCCCCTAGTCGACACGACACGACTCCTATTGGCGATGGCCTCCAACCTACTAGCTTCGGACCTTTCTTGTAGGTCGGGCGGCTACAAGGGCAAGGAGAGACTGTTTGAAGAGAACAGTGTTGCGCATGGCTAGTGTCGACAAACTACTTCCATGTGTCGACAAGGACTGGAGCATTCACCGATCCATCTCCAGTCGACGAAACTCGCCATAAAGGTGCATAGCAAAGAAGAGCGGCAACGCTCCACAGTTCGATACAACCTTGATTCGTGTTCCAATACTACTTGCACAAACCTGATGGTGGTTGTGAACAAACTATCCTGATCTTTTAAAATTATGCAAAAATGTGTTCAACCCACACCTTTTGGGAAAAGAGCAAAGTCAGCAGTTTTGCATCGAGCAACAGGTTCTTTTGTAAAAAACTGATAAAAACATCCAAAACATCCAAAAAAGTGTTCATGTCGTTCATTCTTTTGTGGAACAAGAAATTCTTACGGAAAAACTTCTGCTTTTCGTGGCTCTCGGGCTCTGGCTCGACACGGTCCTTTGGAGCCATCAGATGCCTTCGTACGTCGAGAGCGATGGCCTCCACAGCCTCCAACCTACTGTAACTCTAAGGTATATAGAGACTATCTGCCTACTTTAAGTTAACCAGGGAGTAAGCTTAGGACGACTACTTAGCTTCAAGTAACTAATCCTGCGTCCAGTTCACGTTTCTTCCAGGAAGCTCCCCCGCCACAATAGTGTGGAACAAAAGAACATATTTTGTTGATTCATAGAAGAGCTGTTCATTTGACTCATATCTGATGTCCTCCAGGTCCCCAGGTGGCTTCGTGTCTTCGTCTCTTTGTGTGCGTTTTCACATGTACAAGACGAGTCCAGTAGCGTCCTTGTTCCTAGTAGTAAGACCAGGAGCCCCTAGTAGCGTCCTTGCTCCTAGTAGTAAAGTTGGGACCATGCATTTTTACCCTCTTGAACTTCTCAAACTCCAACCCTTGCTCCTCCAATCCTGGAGGAGGTGCTATCGCCTGCCAAGTGAGGTGTGCATGGCCAACTGGCAAAAGAATTTTGGCGAGTCTAATGAACAGCAAACATCAACATGTAGGAACTGTACCGAAGAATGCCCACGAGGCCTTGGACACAACCATGGCAGCCGTGAAATGAGGCAAAACGGACTGTCCCAAACAGCGTCAAATTGATACTTGGTGAGATATACCAGCGGATCTTGACCACACGAATTCCTGTCAAAGTCCTCAAGGTAAATGGTCAGCGCTTTCTTTTTTCGATGTTTTCCAATGCTCTGGCATGCTTGAGCAAAGTGGCGACACCGGCCACATCAGTTGGACACTGTCTTCTGACGGAACTGAAAACGGTAGGCCTATCCTGATTGACAGCTTTACCCAAATTGAGCGAAAGCTACAGGCTGTCTGGAACTTGCTCCAAAAGGAATCATTCAGCTTGAAACTTTACTGTGGGACTTATCCCGGCCCCACACCTGTCATTAATTCTTCGGTCCAGAAGAGTTGGCAACGATTCCATAGCTCCTTTCGCACAGGCTCCACTTTGGTCTTACCTCGCTCGATCACTCTACATCCCACCAATCATCTGCGAAGCTTTGTCATCGCAATGAAGGCCAAAGCCGACATGCTGAGAGTTATGTCATAACAAACAGTCATCACTCACAACCCACAACCTGAATCAGACTTGTTTCATGTGTTTAACCTGTCAAAACCTACTTGTTCCTGTCAAGACTTGAAACAGTTGACAAATGAATGGGTCATGATACAAAAGCTTAAAACTAATCACGGGGATACTGAATGGTGTTTTTGTCTTCATATGTTTCCACTGATGCAGACTGATATGCAGATTTCTTTGACCATGGCGGGACGAATTCGGTCACCAATGTCGGGCACAAACGCCCCGACGCATCATGCCAGCACGGGCCCTTCTCCACTGACGTCAACTTGGACACAATCCGGAGGTCATGGCTCTGAACACCATCTCCAGACTGTACATGTCATCATTTGCACATTGAATCATAGAAGCAAAGTTCACCGTTTCGCCCAGAAACTAAGAATAAACTCAAACAGAAAAACTCCGTCGGAATCGCGGTTGTCTAGTTGGCTCCGCTGTGCCGGCTTGAAACATTTGGATTGCGGAAGCTTCCAACGAATCTGGAATCGAGTGGAATAAACCAAATGCAACAGCAACACTGAATAAAAGAGAAAATAAGCATAAGGAAATATTGGAAGAGATGATGATTTCTTTATGAGACGATTGGATCTACAATTGATAGACAAAATTCGCACCACCTTGTGTACACCGCTCGTTCTCCCTCTTTGATGCTGGGACTACAAAAGTCAACGCAAAGCAAAACATGAATGTCAGAAATCCTGCGGGGCTTCCTGTGTCTTCCGATTCAACCCTCGAAAGAGAGATAAAATGTGGGACTTCTGGACACATGTTCAAGTCGGAAGCCTTACCGGAACTCCCCGTCACTCCAGCAACGCCGGCAACGCCTCGCTGATCGGCTCCAGATGGCGGCGACGTAGGAGGACCGCCACCGATGAAATGAGGATGAGCGATGCCAGCGCCAACTGGGCAGGACCCGGTGCCAGTGGCAAGAAAAGAGCAAAAGAAGTGAGCGGGACCTTATACCAAAAACTTTTGTCTGATGTCTTGCAGCCCCTGATCTTGAAGCAGCCCCGCTCGCTTATGCCTACTAAAAAGCCAGGAGGAACCCTACTAGCAAAGCCAATCATACAAATCACACTTTAGGTGTTCACGGTGATAGGGGTACGAACATGGGAACTGCGGGTGTAATGCGCCTGGACAGCTGGAACTTACACATGTGAGACTGGGTGCACCGTTGACCTCTGAAAAACACAATCTAAACTCTGCTGTTGAACCTAAAGCTCTAAGTCCCAACTCTGCTGAGACTCTCCTCAGATCCGTCCCTCACAAGGACATCCAAGGGACGAGCATCCAGCCCGTGCCACGCAGCAACGCAGTGGCGGCTGGAAATGCCGCATTGTTCGCACGGAGCGTACCGTGGTCACGAACATCACGGCGCGATGCGACGCTGTCAGTGAAGAGCTTCATTTCGCCCAGCTCCAGGGGCCTGCCCGAGACTCAACTCTGGTTTCAGTGTCTCTGGGCAAAGCGACCGCCAACTACTAGCGACCGCCTGCCACCTAATAGCGATGGCCTCAAAACTACTAGCGAGCGCCTGCCACCTAATAACGATGGCCTCCAAACTACTAGCGAGCGCCTGCCACCCAATAACGATGGCCTCCAAACTACTAGCGACCGCCTGCCACCTAATAGCGATGGCCTCCAAAACTATTAGCGAGCGCCTGCCACCCAATAACGATGGCCTCCAAACTACTAGCGACCGCCTGCCACCTAATAGCGATGGCCTCCAAAACTATTAGCGAGCGCCTGCCACCCAATAACGATGGCCTCCAAACTACTAGCGACCGCCTGCCACCTAATAGCGATGGCCTCCAAACTACTAGCGACCGCCTGCCACCCAATAGCGATGGCCTCCAGACTACTAGCGACCGCCTGCCACCCAATAGCGATGGCCTCCAAACTACTA